TTATCTTTACTTATTATGGATTACAGTGTTGGACAAATGCACAAAGAAAGTCTTAAAATGTAAACTGAAACGATCTAGATAACAATACAAAAATCTTATGCATATTAAGCAGCAATGTAACATAAACCCATTTGATTGACAAACTTAACAATCTTATCTCTAGAAATAGGCTTAGACTATAAATCTGCTATAATTTTACTTGTGAATATATATTGTTGTACAGGAAATTATAGCTCATTCAAGGACAAGGCTACAATTAGTTTTCAAACTTTAAAAACTATACTAGTAAATGACCTACGGTCCTTTTCCTTAAGAACACAATCTGCGTCAACATAAGCAATAACAGTGAACAAACTTTTTCTCCTTTTTCAAGTAAAACAATGATTCCATGAACCATTTAGATAATACAGTACGCGTTTTGCTCCAGTGAGACGCATCAAAACATGCCTTGAACTGGCTGTATACCCTTATTGCCTAGAGGATATCAGATCTTGTGCCCAATTCCAACATTAAGAGAACAATTTATTCGATTTGTGGTCATTATTCTCCTATATATTTTGGAAGAATGATTCAGCCGATAGTTGTGAAGCGCACTGACTTATCAAACGCCTATTCACAAATGTGACATTTATTGCTTAATTTAAAATAGTTTATTATGTTATTATTCATTTTATTATATGTAATTACTACGCTATAAAGAACAAGAACAGAATAAGACAAAAATAAGACAGCAAAAAGAAGACTTACACATTCTTAAAGACAGAAGCCAATTTTGAATCTGACATTCGACTACTACCATAAACTACTCTTAGGACAATAGTATAGCTAATATTTTTATCAAAAAATATTTTATTTTATAGCCAGACTACGTAATTTTAATAAATATAAATTATTGTAAAATAAAACAAAAAAAAAACTCAATACTGAAATGGAGATGAATCCAATTGAATAAAACTATTATTTACGGATTTTATCGCGTTTAATTACTTTAATTTATTTTTATTATTATCCCGACGTTTCGCATACCACTGCAAGACTTCATGATGCTATAAGCTCATTTTGCGTAAATCGGACCAAAAATTAATATTAAAAAAAAAACTGAAGGTAGCCGGACTAACTATGACATTGGGACGTCAAACATCTCAGTCCCCCCCGTGACCATGGGTGCTGTAAAGCACCTGAAACGTCGGGATAATAATAAAAATAAATTAAAGTAATTAAACGCGATAAAATCCGTAAATAATAGTTTTATTCAATGTGTAGTGTTCGCGTAAATTTAAGAAATCATTATGGAGATGAATCCGTCGATGCCCGGATGTCGATGAAAATTCGACAAATAGTTTCGAATACTGCAGGTCATGAAAAAACAAACCAACATAATATCTATGTTTCCGAAAAGACTTATTTACCCTCCCTTATAATTTCACACTACCTGGAAGAACTTGTAATGCTCTCTTATCACACAATTACCACAATCCATCAGATTACAATTCTACAAGTGATACTTGTAACGTAATGAGTAATCAATTAATTAAAACTTATAACGTAACATAACCTTTATATGTTTGTTTAGTTTACGTATTAGTAAATGTATTTATATTACGTAGTAAATTATCTTTTTTTAATTATACATTGCTACAGCTACGTCAAATTCCATGGGTTGACTGGTAAAGAATGCCTCAAGGCAGTAAGTCCGCATTTGGTTCTTTTGTTTTAAAGAATGCAATAAAGAATAAATGGATAAATAAATAAATAAAACTAAATAATGAAACATGTTTTACGTCATGTTTACAAGAATCAGTCAAATCAAAAGTCTTGAGTTCGAATTCGACATTCGTCTCTCTAACTTAAAACGATTATTTTAAGCCTACTTGGAGTTTTTTTTTTAATTATTATATGCCAGTACTGGACTACAATCCCATTCGATGATAAGTAATGTTGTAGCTTTAGGTGGTAAATTGCACTAGACTTAAACAAAAACTCATTAAATAAGAAACTCCGAAAAAGAGAAACTGCTCAAAGTTGAGTTTTAAATAAATCACAACCCCCAACAACTGAAGGCTGTCGATGTACTCCAAAGATACACCCTGAAAAGTAAGAACCAGGGTGGGAGAGCTCCTTCTTGTAGTGAAGAGATTTGTGAACTTTTTTAAGACGTTGAATCTTACACTCACGTGCTTGTGATTTGAAAACGTTAAATCTCACAAGATTAGCAGCGCCTCATACGGATACTGCCGGCAGTAAGGTACACACACTTAGCCATAGCTTCTCTTCGGACTAGATTTGATCTCGACTGGCCGGATAATTTATCTTGCATCTCTCCACAACTGTGCATTCTTCTGCATACCAAAAGATACCGGGCATACGCAGATTATTAATATGCAGCAGGACGAGAGTTGCGGAGAGAACGAAGAACCTTTCTTCCCTAAGGAACTCTGACGTTAGTCGTGATAGGGTCGACAAAGTAGCGGGAATATCACTAATGTTAAAAGAATTGGTAACATTTTTATATAAATTAAATATATTTGTGCTGTTTACCTAACGCTTGGTACTCAGAACACTTCTCTCCCTGGACGTCGACAAGTCGAGTAGGCCTGATGGCGTCCCTCCTATTGTGCTGAAGATATGTGTTCCGGAATTGGCACCGGTTTTTACACGACTTTTCCGGTATTCCTACTCCCTGGGCGTAGTCTCGAAATCATGGGAAACAGCCTTCGTGCACCCGATCCCTAAAAAAGATAATCGCTCTGATCCGTCCAACTATAGCCCTATCGTCATCACCTCCTTGTTCTCTAAAACAATGCCGTTCGTTTTAACAGCCAGCTCATGCGGTATCTTGAGGATCACCAGCTGATTAGTGACCGCCAGCACGGTTTCCATCGCAGTCGCTCGGCTGGTGATGTTCTTACCTGCCTCATAAATGGGCGAAGACAGTAGAGTCCAAGGGGGAGGTGTTGGCCGTTAGTTTGGACATAGCGAAGGCCTTCGATCGGGTTTTGCACAAAGCGCTTCTTACGAAGCTTCCTTCCCATAGGAAGCCCATAGGCTTCCCGAGAAATTATGCAATTAGACCACCAGTTTTCTTGCTGATCGGAGCATCAAGGTCGTAGTAGACTGTGCATTCTCCAATTACAAGCCCATACGCTGGTGTTCCACAAGGCTGCGTTCTATCACCAACGCTGCTTCTTCTGCATATCAATGACATGTTACAAACCGTTAAAATTCATTGCTATGCAGACGACAGCACTGGTGATGCTTTATACACAGACCGTGCCAATATTTCTCGGAAAAACTTCGCTGAGTACCGGGACAAACTTGTGTCTGAAGTCGAGACTTTATTGAATAAAATCTCGGACTGGGGGTGACTAAATCTAGTGCAGTTTCAGAAACCTCGACGTCGACATATCGAGTGACGTGTAGTTTCTTCGTCACTTGGAAGAGAAGGTCAAATTGGCCTCTAAAAGGCTTGGCGTGCTCATCAGAGCGGGACAGTATTTCATGCCGGCCCACCGCCACCGCCTGCAACTTTACGTGGCGCAGTTTCGGCCGCACATGGAGTACTGTTCCCATCTCTGTTTGATCGCATCCAGCGCAGAGCAGTTCGAATTGTCGGCGATCGAGCTCTTTCTGATCGGCTTGACTCACTGGCACTGCGAAGAGACGTTGCATCTCTTTACGTGTTTTATCGCATCTACCACGGGGAATACTCTGAGGAATTGTTCGGACTAATTCCAGCCGCACAATTTCTGAATGGAATTTCTCAATTCATGAATCTCTGGTGGAATCAACTACCACCAGAGATTTTTCCGGACTGACACGAGTTAGGGACCTTCAAGAAAAGAGCCTATTCTTTTTTGAAAGGCCAACAACGTATCTGCAATTCCCCTGGTGTTGCAGTTGTTCATGGGCGGCGGTAGTCACTTACCATCAGGTGAGCCGTATGCTCGTTTTCCCCCTCTCCTATAAAAAATATAACAAAAGGTAAAATTAAAAAGTTTGCACCACTGATTTCAATATAAATAAAATTCGCACATCATCTGTCTTTTCAAAGTCAATTAAACAAGCATTATTAAGAATAATTGAAAAACTACTGGTCAGAACTTGATCAAACTTATATGAGACCACATGAAAAGCATCAGCTTTCAACTAAAACTATCAAACTAGAATTATCAAAATTGGTTAACCTAGAAAGAAATTCTGAGGTAACACATAAAAAACATACAGTCTAATTGAATTACCTCCTCCTTTTTTGAAGTCATTTACAATTGATCTAAAGAATTAACTTTTACTTTCTAGTCAGAACAATAAACATAGAACCCACTCCAGAGATGAACATGAAAGATCTTATCACACCTTGCTCTTCAAAATTTGTCAATCTGTTCAGACTACTAGATACAAAGTAATATACGTTCAAACATTCACATGCTTAAAATACATTACTCTTTCTTACAATTTCAAACTTACCAGGTGATACTTATTATTAACGGAAACTTATAAACAATTAATGGAATCCATCAGATAAGAATTCCACAAGTGATACTTGTAACGTAATTAGCAATCAATTAATTAAAACTAAACAAAGAAACATTGCGCACACATACGTCAGCCTTACATAATAATTGCTAGAAGCAGACAGACGTTGATTGACAGCATCGACCTAGAGTGAAATCGAGCTAAGATCGATCGTGGTCACCGAGTGTCTCGATAAGGCGAGATGAGCGATCGTGTTGTGTTATCGTTATCTTGCATGGAAGGAATCTTCATCGTTTGCCGGTAGCGAGGCGGCATTCGCGCAGAAGCCTCTGTAGGCACCACGCGCTATCCTTGGGGCGACAACGGCGACTCGTGCGCCGCTACAATCGCGATCTTGCCCGCGCATCTCTCCAGTGTCGCACGCAGGGTGACGATGCTACACCGATAGCAAGCAAATATAACCAACGTGTTGATCTCAAACTGGACCTTATATTTGTTAGTGAAAGAGTGAATTCTTTGTAATCAACATGGGTGAGTTCTTTTTTTATATTATGAATTTTTAATTTTTACGCAATAAATGAACGCAATTAACACACATTTAAAATAAAATAATAAACAAACAGTACATCCTAAACGATCATAATATGCAAAATAATTTCCTTAAATATATACAAAAAAGTATTTTTCTCTGCACCATTTAAAATATTTTTATATTTTAATGAAAAACTACGTCTTGTGACTTTGAAAAATGCATCAATTTTGCGATATATGTATAAGTTGTAAGTTAACAATGATCACGTACGATTTATTTGGTTTGATAATCGGAAGCCGCACGGTTGTCACTTACGACGAATGTCGATTGTCCCTGGCGTTATTTCAGTAATATTGAAAGCAAGCCTTGCTGTCAAAATGAAGATAAAGCCGGCAATTGATTCAAGCAAGCCGAATGATAATGAAGAATTGGCGTAAAATTTGAATGTTTAAGAATTATTAAGTTGCCATTAACTTAAATCTAAAAGCTGAAATTTCAAGAACCCTTTTAAAATAATTACACGATATTTTAATATAGTCTCATAAAAAATAAATATTAATATATAACATAATTTTACAACTAGTAAAATTGTTAGACATTTTAGTATTAAAAAATTAAAAACAGTCTACATAGATATTGACTCTGAAATATTTTAAACAATGTGATGCGGTAATAAATTTTAGTATAAAATATAATTTAATGTTTTAGGTAAATTAATTTATGAATAAAACTAATTTTACGGGGTTTACCACGTTTATTTTTCTACTTTAATAATCCTCGAGCGTTTTACAGCACCCGTGGGAACGAGGGAAGACTTCCCGAAGTCATGGTTAACGAAGCCTACCTTCAACTTTTAAAATATTTAAAGATACATTTAAAAATATTAAATTAAAGATATATTAAAATATAAGAAATCAGTAAATTTTTTCTTTCTCATTTAGTATGCTTACAAAATGTTATTAATATTAAAGTTACGAACTTTGAAGACGTGACCTACTGGTCAGAAAACTAAGCTACGATCTCTGCTTCTAACGAACATTTTAATTAGGAAAAATCGTTCGTTTTTTTGGATTTAGTTGTGTTATGATTGTTTCCGGTTAATACGCACTACCTTCCTCCAATTGTTCGATTGCGTTACATTAAGCACAAGTAGATTAGGTTGCGTGAATGCCTTTGCTTAAAGCACTATCGTATAACCTGAGCATTTGATATTTCCTACACTATAAGAAAGCTGTCGCATTAGCCGCAAATCACTAAGCTGATGGACATCAATGCCTAATCTTAGAAAAAAAAAGTACTAAGTACTATATACGTTCCCTCCTGGGTACAGGTCTCCTCTCATTTCTGAAAGGGTTTAATGCAAGAAAATGACAACGACCATTGCGTGTTGGCGAACTTCACATCATGTCTTAAAATTCTAAACTCAGACATTTGTCACAATGCTTTCCTTCAGCGCCAAGTAATCAATAAATCAACACTGCAAGTTTGCCGGTGGGAATCGAATCCGGCTGTTCGCGTTACATAGTAACGTTTACGCAAGCGCTTAGCTGATAAAATGGGATGCATAGTGTGCACACTACCCTAGCATCCATTATTAGACGGTTCCTAATTTTGTACTTCCAAAATTTCAGTATATTTTACGGATTTTATACTAAAATTATTGACCCGACTTTATTTTCCCAAAATATAAATATTATGCTTTATTAAGATATTATATTTATTGGCGCTATTTGTTACGAAAAAAATTATTTGTTATCAATATAAATGGGAAAAAATGAACCCAAAACACGAATAGCATTAAATAAATCAAGACCTGACCTATAAATTAATAAAAACTGCATAAAAATAGCGATGTAGTATTTTCAAAACACCAAGGGTAATGGCCGATTTAATTTGTACACTGATAATAGTTTAACGATTTATGTTATAATTGCTCTTATTAATTAAGGCAAATTTATAAACCAATTGTAAAGATTTATAGTTCAGTGTCTTGTCAATAACTATCATCTATCTATTATATAGGTTTTTTTTAAATTTCGAAAATGTCTTAGGTTAGCACTTATTTTATTTTATGTATTTGACAATGGGTTACTTTTATTTACTTACACCAGTCGCGTAACTGAATCATTGTTGGTTATTAAAATTTTTATTAAAAAAAATTAAAAACTGTCATCCCTAGGAAAATCACCTGTTCCCGAAGATTTTACTACCATAAATTGCACGTAGCTGGCACCCAGTACTGAACAATAATTACTAGATCATACAAATACTCTTCCCACTCGGTAATCGAACCCACTGGTTAAACGCACTGCGGATAAACGCCACCGAGTCGTCAGAATCACTGTAAATGTACCTTAACCTACCTTGTAAAAATTAAAAAACCAATTTCTATAAAGTGTAGGTTTGGGGTATGAAAGTATTAATTTGCAAGTATATACTCTCGACTCCAACTTTTTTTATAGGATAGGGTGACAAATGAGCACACAGTCCACCTGATGGTAAGTGGTTGCTGTGGCCCATAGACATCTACATCTGTCCTCGATTACGAATCAAAATGCAGATGCGTTGTCTCCCGTGAGGACTAAGATGGAATGCCTCGCTTCCAGTAAAAAGGGTCTCCGTTTCTCTACACTCACCATACGAAACACAGCAGGAAGACACTATTTCACGCTGGTATTCTGTGAGAGCTTGGTCCCTCCCCGGCCGAGCCGACCCATTCACGCTACAACTATACTACTAATATAACTGCAGCATGGCTCTACCACGTAAAAGCCTATTATTATTATATTATATTCAAGCCTATTAGTAGTAATAGTTCGATTTACCACTTCCTCTCAGTGTAATGGCCGGAAATACACAAGTTTTCTCATGAACGAGACACACGAGCGAAGATAAGGTCTTAGGACAAGGAAACTGTGTAGTTAATTAGCCCTTTATAGAAACCAGCGCGGCGGCTGCATCAAATGATAAAATACAACAACTATTAATCACTTCAATTCAGGTCATTAAAGATGTGTCCGTGTATCGTATCTGACATATACGTTTCAATTATTTTATAGATTAGTTTACACGAAAAACAAGGGCATTAACAAGACTCGAAACTCTAACGGAAGCAAATTTAAAAGAATTCACATTATATTCGAGTTGTCCCAAAACTCAATGTCAAGTGGATACCAAGGGAAAGGCCAAGTTATACCAGTTATGGCAAAATAATAAAAAAGTCTTGTCACTTACTTAAGTGATAAAACGCATATTCTTAATTTTTTTTTAAATTCGACACCCTAGCCTCTCTAATCTTTAACCGAAAAACCGAATATCTGGCAAGAGTCTAAGCTGTATCACCGAATATTCGGCTCTTAAAGCTAAGTTAGGCAAGATGTCTTGTATACTACTGCGAACTATCGCTAAACCTTTTTTACGTTCGTTATATTTGTCTAGAGTGTATTAGTAGGAAAAATTTGACAAAATATTCATTGAAAGACAATTTTAGTTATAGACAATTTCAAAGACAGGTAGAACCTTACATAGAATAAGTGCAAATTACGTATGACTTTACTCAAAAGCTTCAAAAAAATCTTAAGCCGTAGGGCTTTACGAAAACATCTAGGACTGGATCTTTGCCGAGAATGTACTGAAGAGACGAACAAAAACTGTTCTCATAAAAGTTTATACATAATATAGACCAAAATCAGCACCTGCTTGAAATATAGGGCCATCAAACCAACATCAAACAGGTATATTAAAAATATATAATTACATACTCAATTACCATACTTTTTTTTAAATCATGACTCAATCTCACTTCATTTCGTTTTAAGCTATAACGTCCATGGTTTCATTTGTCTTTACTTAGGATTTCGTTTTGTAAAAAAACACTGCAAAATTGAAAAATTTGTAATCACTAATCAAAAAATGTGGAACCTAGCATGACGGTTTTCAAAAATTTTAATATATGCCTATATTTTCCATATTTTCATTGAAATCATCCTCATAATCATTATCATCATCATACAGCCCTTCATAAGTCCACTGCTGAATAACGGCCTTCCCCAAGGTATGCCACAAAGCGTGGTCCTGAGCCACTTGCATCCATTGACTTACTGCATGTCTTACCAGGTCTTCACTCTATCTAGTGGAGCACCGGCTTTCTCTTCGCCTACTGCTACGACGCTCGAGAATCTTTCTTCCCCATCGGTTTTTGGTTTTTCGAGCTTCAAGTCACTAATCCGTTAGGCTATACCTATCGGTCACTCTGGGGCTACTGCAGATATCCCACAGAAATAGTAATAATAAGACAATATTATTACAATTTCTGTGGGATATCCTCATTTTTAGGTTTATCACGCAAAGGAACCCCAAGCATATCCCTCTTCATAGCTCGCTGAGCGACCTTGAGCTTCCTCATACAACCAGCAGTACCACGCCTCAGATCCACAAGTCATCTCTGGCAACACGCACTAATTTTAAAATCTCGCTTTCAAGTTTCAAGGTAAACCTAACGAGAAGATGTGTCGTAACCTCCCGAACGCTGCCATACAAACATATAAAAATACAGTCGAGTTGTAAACCTCCTCATTCTTTATAAGTCGGCTAAAATGGTATAATAGGGTAACCTAGCATATATTATTACACATTATATTACGAGTATGTAATATATTTATAAATTAAAGTATGCGAAAATACCGTTAATACTTTTGTAAACTTTACAATATTAAACAAAATATTTAGAATAATAAATAATTCTATTAGATCAAACTTCAAAAATATGCCTATAAGTAAAAATTATATCATTTATTTTTTGAAATAAATCTCTTTTAAACAATCTGTAAAAGTTGGTGACTCTATGTATAATTTCCAATTCTGGGGCCACACTAACGAGAAATGCCGTTAATTATCGTGTTGATGGATATTGAATGTAGGCTGTGTGGCCACGACTTAACGTGTTAATTTGACAACGGCAATAACAATGCCATTTGCCGTTTGGCGATAACTCGAGTGG